TAGTAGGTCAACAGCAGCTGACTTCCACAATGGGCCACAGAATGTTTAATAAATGGATTCCCAATATTGATTACATCATGGATCTGATTATAGCACTCCCATTAAAGTCATCTTGAAGAAGACTTCTCAGTCTTTCATTCATAATAAAACACGTGTCATTTGCCTTTTGATAGAAGAAAGCAAGAACAATCCATTGTAGCCCCCATTAATCACCAGGCACTTGCTTCTACTTTGACTCGTTTCTTTAAAAAAACAGCAAAGTAAGCTACTTGGTGGGGTTTCTTTTTCAAACTTCAGATTGGATCTCATATTATTTCCCTATCTGTCTTGAGACTTAAACAGTATATACTTAGCATTTTCAAAAATACTTCCTTGAAGATGTCTTTGCTGTCACTTCACATTATACTCTCAGCCCAAAGAGAAAATATGTCTGGGACATGTTAAAAAGCAATTGCAACCATATAACTAACTAACTAACTCTCTCTCTCTATCTCTCTGGAAAGGTTCTTGGTCTCACATTATTTTATGGCTAACACTTTAAAATCATTACATACTGTCAAGTTGACTACAATGTATGGTGAGCTTTTCCAGAATTTTCCAGGTTGAGAGTATTCAGAAGTGGTTTATAATTCCCTTCTTCTAGTTATATCCTTGGACTGTGCAGATTGCCCAAGGCTACCTAGGTTGGCTCTTTTTCTAGGAGGCATAGAGAGAAATCAAACTCCTGACCTATTGATTCCACAGTCAGATACCCAACTCATTGAGCTATCCAGACAGTAGCACTTTAATAATTAGTGGTGCATTACTATTGCTTCACTTTTAATTTTAAAAGGCTATAAAAATAGTAAAATGCTTCCCAATCCCCTCAAATGACTCCCAACCCTGTTGTGTTGGATATACTGTAATATGTAACAATTATTTATAGCACACAGAGAGTGTTACTGGTTATGTTGTTTTGCAAAGAGAACATGAAGGTCATTGTGTCCTTATTACCCCTAGAAGCAACACATTTCAGGTAACCTGTAACATATTATTGCAAGTTCTAGAACATTTGGTGTCTCCAGATCTGTTTGAGCATTTCACTTTTCTCAGTTAGCCTCCTTATAAACTCAAAGGAACAACAGCCAAAAGCAGAATCAGCTGACAATTGGCAAAACAACACTTTAAAAAGAAGTGTAAACCTGTGACCTAACACTACTTGTATGCTCTAGGAAAATGAACAGACCCATCGTTTTCCAAGGCTGGTGTTGTTTATTATGGACCTCTTGCTCACTCTATCAAGGGTGTCAGTGTAAAGATTATATGCCACTGTCTTGCTGTGACCTGTACACCAAAACTGATCCTCTGCATTTGTGCCTTTGCTTTCTACAGGGCCTTCGGCTTTTATCATATCAGCTCCCAAAGGAACAACACTACAGAAAGGATGGGCTGTATTGATTTTTATGTCCTCTGTGATATACCTTCATCTTTCTTTTCCCACTCTGTGAATGCTCTTTTTTCCTTCCATAGATCCCTCAGGATAGTACAAATCAATATATTTTCTCCTTCTTTAATGGGGAAAACAGTAAGTTTCGTCCATTTCCTTGGAAAGCAATCCAGGGCAACTTGCCCCAAAAAACCCAAGGAAATATCTTGTCCTCAATAAGACCATTTTGCCCTTTATACTTGAATACATTGCAGAAAGAAAACTAGACACCAGGAAAGAATATCTGGATTAAACTTTCCCTGATGTGCTAGTTTTGTGCCTCCTAGATTATTTATGTATTTTTCTATTTCTGGAGGAACATTCATTGCCCTCTGTTTGCTGGTTGAAAACATTTTGCTGCCTAATGCAAAAGATTTTTTTTTAAAAAAAACAACTTGCCACTGCCATTCCACATTTAGAAAGCCAAAGCCTGGGGAACAGACTAGGAGAACTGGCAGTTGAATTTTGTTTCAACAACAGAGGCAGATCAGCTTGGTAAATTGAGTTTTGCAGGGCACTGAATCTTCTTTGGATTGAAATCTGAATTTTAGAGAGGTTTGTCCAAAGCTCTGAACCTGTTTCATAGAAGGTTTTCAGCACTAGGCATGGGACTTTCTTTTTCACTAACAGCCACAATTTACCTAACCCTAATCCTACAACTGCAGTAAAAAAGAGAAGAACAGAGAACTTTCAGTACACACATCTGAGACCCAAAATGTACCACTTTGCAGCCATTGCAAAAGAAGAGAGTGGGTGGAACTTACTGAACTCCATGGCAAGTACAACAGATTGTGGGACTGGTAGATTTTTGACAGCCACCATGCTGAACCTAATGAGCATAGAGACTACCAAATCCACAGTCCATTACAGTTACCAGCACCTTGGATAATTCCTGTGAAATTCAAACTAATTTCTGGAACACGTTCTTGGTGAAATTGAGGACAGTAATATACACTGGACAAGAAACGGACCTCTACTACACAGGCTGGTTTAGGGAATGCAGGGCAGTGCAACAAGGCAGACCACAATTCTGTCTTGCAGCAGATGTTTCAGAAAGGATGGCTCAGCAGGAATCACTAAGAGTAGGAGGTGCTGCTACAGTTGTCCCAAACCCCAGCCACTGCACGCAGCTTCCTTACAATCATATTGTAAGGACAGTCCTATGTCTACTTTACCAGGTCTGCTGAATGTTTAGATCATGCCTGATTTCAGCTGGATTCTGCCTTATGACTAAAATCCTGCTGCTGGCAAATAAAAGCATTAAAATATTGTAATAGGCAGTGAAAGTCCCTGTGTGAACCTTAGAGCCTATTCATAAGGGAATCTAAGTGCATATTTGAGTCTGGAATGTGTCTCTTGTGGAGGTCATAAATATGACTTAGAAGGAGATGAAGAAAGTCATTTTTAGAACTGAATCATCTTCACTCTCTTCTCACACAGTGTCTTGCAGAACTTCCAGAATTATTGCAGAAATGCTGTGAAGAAGAGAACAAAGTATTAATTGGCCACATCATGATTTTGCAAAGGCAGACATGTTTCTTTTTAGCAGGAGGGTTCTCTCTGATTAAGCTGCCAGCCGAATAACCTGAAGACTTAGTCATGCGCTGGCAATAGAGACCTTGGCCTAAACCCAATTGTAGTCAGACCCTTGAATCTATGGAATTTACACCAGTGTCAATTTGCTGTTCAGCAGTTGGTTCAAAGTGTGATCATGTGGGGAAACAGGCCACAATCTGGAGTGATCCAGTGTGATATTTTCCCTGGTGATCACGCAATGCACAGGGAAATGCACTCCAGCCCAACCAGAAAGGCCCAGCTACAGAGCTTCTAGTTTTGGTGCCGGGCTGCAGTGATTCCCCAGCAGAGAGAAGGGTCATGTTAAGAGAGATAGTTCCTATCAAAGCAACGCTTTCTGATGTGATCAAGCACACACCTTTGCAGCTATCTGATCACATCCTCTGTGGGTCTATCTAACTGAGAACAGAACTGTGTCTGTGTCTGTGCCTGTATGTATATGGGAACAAAACAAGGAGGGGAGAAAAGTCCTCTTCTTCAATGATAGAGACTAATGCTGTACATGCATATCAACTCTCTTCTTTATTGTGGGAATATACTGAATGAAGAACCATGCCTACCTTTCAGTGGATTGTACAAATCATCCCTGGGGTCCTTATCATGCATTAACTTTAATGGGCGGTGGGGATGCCACAAAGACTCGCATCAGCCATTACAGCAGACAGTTAAAGTAGCTTTACTATGGTTAGAGCAATAACTAAAGAGGCATTTGGTGGATGCCTGGCAAAGCAAAATCAGAAGCTATGGTCTGAAGCAGGTTTAGATATGGCTTTGTGTGCTGCCTTAATTGACTAACAAGTGCCTCATGTCCTAGATCTCTGACAAAATTGCCTGGAGGCCACTAGGCTTAGAAGGCTACCAATGTTTTCTGAAATACCATTCATGTGTAGACCTTTCCTGAAAAAAATCTTTGGTGTCCCAGAAAGAAGAAGGACAGCTCATAGGATAAGGACCTCTAGGATCCATATAACCAGTTATCCTGTCAAAGAAAGACCAATACCTGAACAACATAGCACCAAGAACTTCCTAGTTTGAAGTTTTGACATAGCAGAACAAAGATCCCTATGTGATGTGTCTTTGTAGATTTCAACTTGCAAGTGTATTGATTGATTGATTGACTGACTGACTGATTGATTGATTGATATACTGCCTCATTAGTACAAACACTACTCTTGTTTACAGGTTAAAACTTAAAACCCACAAGACCCCACCTAACAACACACATTCCAAAGCAATATGGTGATAGATATAAATAACCCTGTAAAATCTGAAAATTATACCAAAAAATTAACAGCATCCAGGGAATTCAGTTGTTAAAGGCAGCTTTAAATAATTCTGTCTTTAGCAGTTTCCTGAAGATAAGAAGGAAAGGAATGTGCCATATCTCTGTTGGCAACTTCTTCCAGAGACTGGAGCAATGATTCCTTGCGGTTGCCTTTTTGGCCCGCCTAGGTCTGTCCATTTTTAACATCATGGATTGAGAGGAGTGGATGGAACAGGTAGCAGATTTCTGGGAGAGGCATTCCAACAAGTCTTAAACCGTTAAGAACTTTAGAGGTCATAAGCAGCACCTTGAATTAAGCATGGAAACTGTCATGAAGGCCATGAAGGCCCATTGACTCTTGGGAAGATGGCAAGGCATGGGGAGATGGTAAGACTGTGATTTTTTTTTTACCTATAGTACTGGGAAGTCAGGTCTTTGCCTCCTGTCCTATATGTGTTTTCAAATGTTTCTGAAGAGTGAATGCTTCTTTCAGCAAAAGAATTCATGATGGGTCTTCACAAAATTTAAGACCATGACAGAATCCCTACCAGTTCCAAGTTCTGTCTTGTTTCTTCTGCCATGCATATGGTACCTCTGAACAAAATCATGCTAATGCTGTACTAAGCTTTGTCTTATTTGTGTTGCTCCTTGTGCATTTTGTGTCTCACTCAACATTCTTTGTTTCATTTATTCCAGGCAAAGTCTTCAGAAGAAGCCTCAACAATGCAAGCAACAGAAAGAATGAATCAGTTATGGAGGAAGAAAAGAAGAAGCTCTGATTAAAGAGAGATGTGCTACTTGACCCATTATGACCTCTTCAATTAAGGAAACATCTTATCCCTATCACTGCATCTTCCCTCAGGATTAATAACAGCTGTGAAAGCATCTACGGGTACCAGGGCAGGAGCTACTTGCTGTCTGCTCTTGCCCCTTTCTGCACTTTGCCCATGGTGAGATCCAAATGTGTCCTGTAAAAGCTTTCACCTTGCATGGAAGTTGGATTTGCCAGTTGAAAATGAGACACTTCCAACTGAACTTGCTTCTCATCTGTATGGCAGCCACCACTGCAATTCCTGTTGTACCTTGGAAGGTCAAATGTCCACTGCAGTGTGTCTGCCAAATCAGGCCATGGTACACACCCAGGTCTGTGTACAGAGAGGCAGCCACAGTTGACTGTAATGATTTGTTCATCTCCACAGTGCCTGAAAGCTTGCCAGTAGGGACACAGATCCTTCTCTTGCAAAGCAACAATATTGCCAAGGTTGAGCAAAGTGAACTTGACTATCTGAGAAACCTGACTGAGCTTGATTTGTCACAGAACAGTTTCTCTGACATTTTGGACCTCAGCCTGAGGAACATGCCCCAGTTGCTGAGTCTCCATCTGGAAGAGAATCAGCTGGCTGAACTTCCTGATAATGGCTTCATGGGCTTGGCTAATCTCCAGGAGCTTTATCTTAACCACAATCAAATACGCAGGATCTCACCGCAAGCCTTCTTAGGCCTTGGAAACCTACTTCGGCTCCACCTCAACTCCAACTTGCTGAGGACAGTTGACAGCCGCTGGTTCCAAGTACTTCCCAGTCTGGAGATCCTCATGATTGGAGGTAACAAAGTAGATGCAATTTTGGATATGAACTTCAGGCCACTGTCCAATCTGAGGAGTCTGGTTCTGGCTGGAATGAACCTGAAAGAGATTTCAGATTATGCGCTAGTAGGTCTAAAAAGTTTGGAGAGTCTGTCTTTCTATGACAACAAACTGGTCAATGTCCCCAAACGTGCACTACAGCAAGTCCCTGGTCTTAAATTTTTGGATCTTAACAAAAACCCACTTCAGAGAGTTAAGCAGAGTGATTTCACCAATATGCTGCACCTCAAGGAATTGGGACTCAACAACATGGAAGAACTGGTTTCCATCGATAAGTTTGCCTTGATCAACTTGCCTGAACTGACCAAACTGGATGTGACCAACAACCCTAAACTGTCCTATATCCACCCTAATGCTTTCCACCATCTTCCCCAGATGGAGACCCTCATGCTCAATAACAATGCCCTCAGTGCCTTGCATAAGCAGACACTGGAGTCTCTCCCCAATTTGCAGGAGATCAGCATCCATAGTAACCCCATCCGCTGTGACTGTGTCATCCGCTGGGTCAACAGTACAGAGAACCGCATACGCTTCATCGAACCTCAATCTACGTTATGTGCTGAGCCTCCAGACCTCAAGAGAAAGCACATCCGTGATGTCCCTTTCAGGGAAATGTCTGACAGGTGCTTACCACTCATCTCTGACAAAAGCTTTCCTTCCAATATAGAGGTGGTGGAAAGTGAGGATATTGCTCTCCACTGCAGGGCTCTGGCAGAACCAGAACCCGAGATTTACTGGGTCACCCCATCAGGTCTCAAATTGATGCCCTACTCAGAAGATGGAAAGTACAGAGTGTATCCTGAAGGGACACTGGAGATCCATAAAGTGACAGCACAAGAGGCTGGGCTCTACACATGTATAGCCCAAAACCTCATTGGTGCTGATACGAAGAGCATCAGTCTGGTGGTCAATAGTTCTTTCCCTTTCAGTGAGGATGTGCTAAAACTGCTACTGAAGGAAGTACAGGCATATCACATCCTGGTTGCCTGGAAACCTCACCTCAACACGGTTTCTTCCAACCTCACATGGTCCAGCTTTGACCCCAGTTTGGACATGATGAGCATGGCCCGTATCCCCACAGGCACGCATGTCTACAACATCACGCGACTGCACCACAGTACAGAATATTGGGCTTGCCTTCATGTGTCCTTTGCAGACTTGCCAAGCAAAGTAGCCTGTGTAAACGCCAGGACTAAAGAGGCTCCATACCAACATTTGGAAAGGAGGCAAGGGATCCTCATGGTGTTGTCTCTCTGCATTCTGTTGCTGTGTCTTAGCCTTATAGGCAACTACGGCTTGGGTTCTTTCAAGCCACAAGCTGGGAGTCAGGGGATCTGCATGCCATGGAAAACAGGCTCATCTTCAGTGCGAGTTGTATACCCAGCTTTCATCAAACACTGGGATCAAGGGAGAAAGACAGAGACACTCCTAACTGTGGAGGTGCAAGCAACACCACTGGAGTCTTAAAGGTTGTTGACTGATACATTTTCCCCCCAGGGAGGGTAAACAAGAAGATCTGGTGGATTTGTGTTTATATTACCAAATATAAAATATTGATGGGGGAAATGTTCAACCACAAAAAACGCTAAGCATAGATTATGGAGGGGACAAAAGTGTGGTGTGTCTGTTATCCATCCAAGCCACCAGTTTGGTCAAACAAATTATCCTTTATGTCAAGATAAACAATCTATTTTTTATGAAAGGAAGATTCTTGCAAAGACATTCAGTATCCAGAATAGATAGCATGAGCTAAAAGTAAAAGGCTTGGAATCTCAAAATCCCTCTGTTCCTTTCAGACAGCCCATGGATCCTCTGGCAGCCTTTGACCAATGTACTTTTTGTTCAGCAAATTGCTGATCTCTTGGAAATCTTTTTTTAAAAAGCCTGTCCCTTTGGGGTTACCTTTGTGCACAGAGGTGTATTGCCATGAAGAATCTTGAACCAAATCCAAACAGCCTTGTCTTGTGAACACTGCAGTTTTCGCCTCCTGAGGATCACCTCCAGGCAGGTGAAACAGAAGGGAAAGCAATCTTACACAGATGAGGAATCACAAGTAACAATAATGATCCTCAAAACAATGAATGCGTCTTTGAATCAATTAGCAATGTCAGTAAGCAAAACTGGATTGGATTCCAGCCTAAGAGCTTAATTTCAAGGCTATTTTGTAAACTTTTGTGAATAATGTTTAAAAAAAAAAGGAAGAGGGAGGGTGAAGAAAATCCTGCTTTTTTGTTTTTTTGTATAAAAAAAGAAAGAAAGTGAGAAAGAAAAAAATCCTTTGTATACCAATCTACCATAGCTAGAAGACTTTATGCTAGGTCAGCATTGCTTCAGCTATAGGGTGGGCAGTGCAGGGAAGATGGGAGGGGGTAAACTTTGATGTAGGAAAGGTTTCAAAGAGTAGGATTCTCTTTGTTTTTGAAGTGGCTGATCTCCATGCTGCATAACTCAAAAGACCCCTGGAGATAAGAGGAAATGGAGAGGGCCAGGAGTTGAAGAAACTGGGAGAGGATAAATATTCCATTTTCTAACTCTGTCATCACCTCTTTGTCTCTGATAAGCCAATTAAAATTGCAAATGAAATATATGGCCAGTATGCTTTTCCTTGTCCTTAGTTTCACAAAGTCAAAAGTGTGACATTGAGTCCTAGGGAGGGGTGGGGTGCTGGTACCACAGTAGAAGCAGATGGCTGCTCAATTCTCACCTAACGAAAAGGGCTTAGACACACACACCAACAGGTGGAACTGAAGAAAGCAGTAGAGAAGGAATGGTGTCCGCAAAGGTTTGTCAATGATTTATCAGGAATTCCAGCTCTGATCCTCTCATGGCCATACTGTCTGATGGATTCTGGGAGTTAAAGTGTGGTGGGGAAAGTTACAAGGGTAATTCTGGTATTGAGGTTTCAGAAGAGGTAGCCATGTTAGTCTGTGCAAGCATCTCAAGTAGAAACAGAAAAGAAATAAAACTTTAAAAAGACAAGAACATTGTGGCACCTTAAAGACTAACTGCTATATTTTAATGTGAGATTTCGTGGAACAAATCCACTTCCTCAGATATAAAAGTGAGGTTACATGGCAAATTTTTATACATTTATCCATGGCATCAAAATACAGAGACAGTGGTTGTTTGGTTGCTTGGTTAGTAGACATAAGTTGAAAATTGTGTGAGTCAGTTTGGCATTTCACACCTGGTAATGACTTCTGTTTGACATCCAGATCTTTTTCATTGAAGCTTTGTACTGTAAAAAGACAACAGTGGCTAGTGGGTAAAGGAACCCCTGGCATAGAATAACAACAATAGAAACGGCCTGCTCTTGCAGAAGAAGTGAAAGATGGCTTCATCTGCCACCTAGCCACATATCACAGTGGGACCAGAAACTCCTGTGCTCTTAATTCTTATTCCCTCTTTCTCTTATCTAAAGGATTCTGGCTAGTTGTTAACTCCTGGTGTTCCAGTGGGAAATGTGACAATAAAAACTATGTGGGGCATTTTGTGTTTAAAACAGAAACAACATAATACAACTCTGGTAGACTTAACTCCAAAGCTTGGCAAGTACATGAAGAATAGATTACTTCCTACAATATCAACACATAAACTATGATTCAGTAAACAAGTCTGTATATCAAACCTATAGAGTGAAACACACTGGCTTAAAAGTGGTTATGTGACGACAAAGAGAAGTATTTAATCTAGTGATGGTACATTTTTATTGTGTAAAACAAAGTATGGCCTAAATAATTTGTGTCTACAGCAAGTTTTGGCCCTAGGTTTATCAAATGTTGTGGCAGCCAGGAACGTCTCTCCAAGGAAAAGTGAGTGATGCCATCCTAGGAGAGCTGGCTGCTCAGGGAGTATTTTACACAACACATGTGCCCAACACCATCCTGAGGTACATCCCAATTGCTATAATCCTACACAGGGCATACAGAGGCTGTGGGGTGGTAACCATCATAAACTTTTCACCCCAAGCAGGCAATAAAGAAGTGAATAACAAACAATATATGGGGGGAAGTTAAGACTGGGATTCACTTCTTTCCATGGCTATGGGGCTATCTGAAGTAATGGATACCTTCTACAGTATGGGAACTCAGGGAAGCTCAGGCCAGGAACAAACACTGCAGTAAGGACTAATCACACTGATAGCACTGCCATTGGCAGTGCCTGTGTGTGGCTAAAGAGTGCGAAACTGTGTTACTGTGCATATCAAGGACCCAAATTTTATAATTACAAAAGACACTGGTTTATGGCAAAGAGATGCTATGGCATGGGGTTGCAGGTATTTGCAGAAGCTTTAGAAAAGTAAGGGCATGGTTGCACTAAAATAAAATAAAACCCAGCATTGCCATAGCTATAGGGAGACACTCTTGCTGCTGACACATCATCCTGGAGCCACTTTTGAGGTTTTTGTCTGGTGTCCACCCATCCTTGGGCTGGCTGCCCCTCACAGCCATACACTGCCACCGCCACCACACACCCTCCATTGAGCTGGCATGGGTAGCAGGGACAAAAGCCATGTCCTTCTGCTGTGGTGTGATTTTTTATTTTTTTCAAACTTAGATAGCGCTAGATCAGTGTTACAGATTTTAAAAAAATTAAACCTATCTGATTAAAGGTTTACCCTTTCACCCCCTTCTCCTGCCTTCCTCAGCCAGAAGCCAGCTGCCCAGTTGCTCCATGACCCTGGAGGAAGAGTGGAAGAGCAGGCAGGTCAGTAGGGATTAAAGTGATTTTTTATGGTCCCTCATCATGTTTTCACATTTGTTTTATTAGTTTTAATTTTTTTTTTCAAACTGGGATAGCAGTAGATCAGTATTAGAGATAGAATACATACGTAGGTACATACATACATACATACATACATACATACATACATACATACATACATACATACATACATACATACATACATACAGACATACAGACATACATACAGACCGACAGACAGACAGACAGACAGACTATAAGTTACCCTGCAGCCTGGAAACCTGTGATCCTGGCATCCAATCCAATACTTGACAAACCCCACAGACACAATTTACTCTGACACAGGTGAACACATATGCCAAAACAATTCAAAATAAATCATGTTAATAATTGAGTTAAAATAAACAAGCCCCTATGGTGTTTTTTCTTTTAAAAAAACTTCACATTCTGAACAAACAAAAAAAGCCATGCTCCCCAGGCAAAAAAAATGTGCATCATTTAAACAGATTTTTTTCATTGATTTCAAACATGCTAGGAGTACAAAAACCCAGGAGTATTTTGATGTGTAAATGCACTTTAAGTTGCCCTGCCAGGACTCATCTATGCTGAAAATCAATTTTAGAGGGATTATGCATTCCACTCTTTTTACTTACAAACCTGATCTGGTTTTATCAATTTAAAAAAAAAAACTGAAGTGCCAGCGGGAAAATTCCAGGCTGTTTCCAGCAGTAATCATCTAATGCAAAATATGCTGCATTAGCAAGTTTTTAATGCCCAGAGACTAATGCAAAAGATGTGCCAGAGTGCTGTAAATATAAGGATGCCAATTCCTTTGACAAAGACGGGCTTTGGCCCTGGAGCAGCTCAGAAAGAGGAGGAAAAACCAACACAAATGGATTTCCCACGTGATGTTTGTAAGCCTGGTGCAGGTGATGACAGCAAACAACTTAGCAGTGCTCAAGGCATATGGTAGAAAGGGAGTCATTAAAAATTAAAACAGCAGGGGAAACACAGTCTCAGCTACCATGGAATCCACATGATCAGCTACACTTTCCCTCTTCTTGGTAGAGGAAAATAACTTGTTCAATTTCAGAAGCATAATTCCTGCACTTTTAGATTCAGAGGCCTCCCCCTATCTGGAGGAGAAAGGGTCTCCTCGCTCCTGCATCATGGATTGACATCAGTCCACAGTCAGGCTTGGTTCAATCTGAGGTCACAGTGGAACTTTATTTGTCTATTATTGTAACTTTATTCTTTAATGATCACTGGGAAATCCAAAGCAAAGGTGTGACATCCTTTAGATAAGGATGAGGTGGGATAGGTGGAGTGGTTCTAGATTATACTCTTTGGGTTGCGCAAAAGCATTATGTTCCAAAAGGAGGAACTCTAGGCCAGGTCAGATATTAAACTCCAACTGCAATCTAGCTCAGTATGTGGAAAGCAATGAATATACGCAGCTCTTCCACCTCATGGCAAGCCCAGAGACTAATGCATACTATGTGCACACTTTTTCCCTTTTCCCCAACTATTTTTCCCCAGCTCCTTTTCCCCAACTATTGGGCCATGTTTAGGAAGAAACAGCATCCAAATCAGTCTTCTGCCTCCATAATTTTCAGGCACCAAAACAGAGTAGCACCTTTGACTTCCATGAAAATATAGCTTGGTTGATTTAAGTCAATGTCTAGAAGCAGTGTTGCCACCACGTCATCTCCCCTTAGAAATATTACCTCTACAAAAACTATCATGGATCAGACAAACTCTGAATTCTTTGCTCAACTCACCTGAATATAAAATCAAGAGGGAGCAAAGGTTAAAGTTCAAAGTAGACGTGATGGTAAATGTCCAACTCTAAGATGGTAGACTAATTTTCCCCCCAGCAAAGCCAGTCATTCCTGAGCAGGTAGGCATGCAAATGAAGCCTTCATTTACCTCTTGGTGGCCATTTGCAAAATAAAACCAGCTAATTTGCAAAATGTGGAAATAAGAAAAGCTCGTGCAAAGAAAACTGATTGATTTGTTTTGCTATAGGGAGCACGACATCTAAATGCACAGCTAACCAACTCTTGTAGCTTAATGCTAACTCTTAAACTTTCTCAGAAGTGGAGAAAATAGGGAATCAGTCTCAAGTTTTGGGCATCTGCCACTGCAGTTCTTCTCTTTCCCACAGAAAGCAAGCTTCTTCCTGTTTGGCTGTCCTTTACAAACACAGCTGTATTTAGCTGGGGACATAATTTCTCAATAGCAGAGGCAAGAATACAAGATAGTTCTTCAAGCTTTTGTTTTCATGGACTTTCCTGATGGCTTCTGAACATTTGCTCTTGGCAGTCATGGTGTCACTGAATACAGTATTTACTCTTCTGTTTAAATTTAATCATGTGCTTTAGCTCCATTGAGTAAATGGGGCTTAATTTCCATGTTTAAATTAAATGCATGCTTAAGTAACTTCCTAAATGAGGACTGCTGTCATCATGAAGCAAGTCTCCTTTGATCTAAAGTACCCTTTCAAAGGAGTTACTCAGGGGCATGGAGGATCAGCACTGCCTTTTTCATCTTATGCCATTTAATACTGCATTCCCAAACGTCATAATTCTAAAATCTGGTGACAAGTCTAGACTGAATATGCAGCCTATTAGAACAGGGAAGTCCTCATGTTTGTGGAGTTTAGCTCATATGCAGCAGAACTGGATCTTCACATTTCAGGAAAAAATGAAGTAAAAACAGTGGGAATGGGGCAGGATCAAGATTATGAAGTCCAGTCTGAAATTCCCTGTTGGCACCACTGAGGGTACTGGCATCCCCATCAGGTGGAGGAGAGGCCAGTCACTCTTGTTGTACCTCTTCATCTTCAGGCTGGGTGTCTCTGTTTCCTGTTAGGCAAGGAAGGATGAGGAGCTGGGGCAGGGGAACCAGAACCTTTCTGCTATCACATATCCAGGCTTGTGTTCCAGTTCTGGTAACACCATTGATAACAAAACAGAGAGAAATCCTCAAAAGAGAGACATCTGTGGCCATACAAAAGATACTAGAACAGGAATAGACTCTTCCAAAGATGAAATGAAGTAGGTATGTTATTACTAAAGGACTAATCTTGTAATGTCCTGGGGAAAAAAAACTTCTGGCTTAGATCTAGAGCCAATAGCTATTAATATAATAGTACAGAAGTTTTGGGGAGGTTGCATCCATGGGCCACCTGACATCAGTGGTGGGACCACTGATACCA